GTTTTTCCACGTTTTTGTGAATTTTCAGTTTATTGTTATTAATTCATTAAATATACGATAAAAATGATGCAAACACATAATTGATTAGATAATAACCTTAAATACTTCATTTTCAATCAACTATTTGTTTCTCGTTAAAATACTGAGTAAGATATTGAAAAGGGGAGAAGTTCTGTTTTTATTGCATATATCGACGTTTCAGCCGGAATAGAGCGGTTTTCGTGTACATCTTTCATCGGTAATATAAACGGAAAATCAGGAACATTTTAGTTAATTCTAATGAAAACACATTGATTTTTATCATTTGTATTGGAAACAACATTGTCATATGTCTTTTCTTGGATCTAAATAATACGAAACCTCGCTCTATGATTTGAAGTTAAAATCCTCAAATATGGTTAAATAGTGACTTTTTTCACGTTTTTCATGTAGTTTGATATTACGTAAATATATTCATTTTTACCAATATTTCGATACTATTTCATGTAGTATCACGATATGTGATTTGGCCTTCAAATCTCAGAATTTCGCATAATATTGCATTTTAAGCAAGTTTTCTTGCATTTTGTTTCGTACGAAAAATCATCGAATTTAGCAATATTTTGACGTTTATCATCCCCTTTTCCTTTATGTGATTTAAACAAAATATCATCGAATTAGGCAATATTTTGCCGTTTTTCCACGTTTTTGTGAATTTTCAGTTTATGGGTATTAATTCATTATATATACGATAAAAATGATGCAAACACATAATTGATTAGATAATAACCTTAAATACTTCATTTTCAATCATCTATTTGTTTCTCGTTAAAATACTGAGTAAGATATTGAAAAGGGGAGAAGTTCGGTTTTTATTGCATATATCGACGTTTCAGCCGGATTAGAGCGGTTTACGTGTACATCTTCCATCGGTAATATAAACGGAAAATCAGGAACATTTTAGTTAATTCTAATGAAAACACATTGATTTTTATCATTTGTATTGGAAACAACATTGTCATATGTCTTTTCTTGGATCTAAATAATACGAAACCTCGCTCTATGATTTGAAGTTAAAATCCTCAAATATGGTAAAATAGTGACTTTTTTCACGTTTTTCATGTAGTTTGATATTACGTAAATATATTCATTTTTACCAATATTTCGATACTATTTCATGTAGTATCACGATATGTGATTTGGCCTTCAAATCTCAGAATTTGGCATAATATTGCATTTTAAGCAAGTTTTCTTGCATTTTGTTTCGTACGAAAAATCATCGAATTTAGCAATATTTTGACGTTTATCATCCCCTTTTCCTTTATGTGATTTAAACAAAATATCATCGAATTAGGCAATATTTTGCCGTTTTTCCACGTTTTTGTGAATTTTCAGTCTATGGGTATTAATTCATTATATATACGATAAAAATGATGCAAACACATAATTGATTAGATAATAACCTTAAATACTTCATTTTCAATCATCTATTTGTTTCTCGTTAAAATACTGAGTAAGATATTGAAAAGGGGAGAAGTTCGGTTTTTATTGCATATATCGACGTTTCAGCCGGATTAGAGCGGTTTTACGTGTACATCTTCTGTCGGTAATATAAACGGAAAATCAAGAACATTTTAGTTAATTCTAATGAAAACACATTGATTTTTATCATTTGTATTGGAAACAACATTGTCATATGTCTTTTCTTGGATCTAAATAATACGAAACCTCGCTCTATGATTTGAAGTTAAAATCCTCAAAAATGGTAAAAAAGTGACTTTTTTCACGTTTTTCATGTAGTTTGATATTACGTAAATATATTCATTTTTACCAATATTTCGATACTATTTCATGTAGTATCACGATATGTGATTTGGCCTTCAAATCTCAGAATTTCGCATAATATTGCATTTTAAGCAAGTTTTCTTGCATTTTGTTTCGTACGAAAAATCATCGAATTTAGCAATATTTTGACATTTATCATCCCCTTTTCCTTTATGTGATTTTAACAAATTATCATCGAATTAGGCAATATTTTGCCGTTTTTCCACGTTTTTGTGAATTTTCAGTTTATTGTTATTAATTCATTATATATACGATAAAAATGATGCAAACACATAATTGATTAGATAATAACCTTAAATACTTCATTTTCAATCAACTATTTGTTTCTCGTTAAAATACTGAGTAAGATATTAAAAAGGAGAGAAGTTCTGTTTTTATTGCATATATCGACGTTTCAGCCGGAATAGAGCGGTTTTCGTGTACATCTTTCATCGGTAATAAAAACGGAAAATCAGGAACATTTTAGTTAATTCTAATGAAAACACATTGATTTTTATCATTTGTATTGGAAACAACATTGTCATATGTCTTTTCTTGGATCTAAATAATACGAAACCTCGCTCTATGATTTGAAGTTAAAATCCTCAAATATGGTTAAATAGTGACTTTTTTCACGTTTTTCATGTAGTTTGATATTACGTAAATATATTCATTTTTACCAATATTTGGATTTTATTTCATGTAGTATCACGATATGTGATTTGGCCTTCAAATCTCAGAATTTCGCATAATATTGCATTTTAAGCAAGTTTTCTTGCATTTTGTTTCGTACGAAAAATCATCGAATTTAGCAATATTTTGACGTTTATCATCCCCTTTTCCTTTATGTGATTTAAACAAAATATCATCGAATTAGGCAATATTTTGCCGTTTTTCCACGTTTTTGTGAATTTTCAGTCTATGGGTATTAATTCATTATATATACGATAAAAATGATGCAAACACATAATTGATTAGATAATAACCTTAAATACTTCATTTTCAATCAACTATTTGTTTCTCGTTAAAATACTGAGTAAGATATTGAAAAGGGGAGAAGTTCGGTTTTTATTGCATATATCGACGTTTCAGCCGGATTAGAGCGGTTGTACGTGTACATCTTTCATCGGTAATATAAACGGAAAATCAGGAACATTTTAGTTAATTCTAATGAAAACACATTGGTTTTTATCATTTGTATTGGAAACAACATTGTCATATGTCTTTTCTTGGATCTAAATAATACGAAACCTCGCTCTATGATTTGAAGTTAAAATCCTCAAATATGGTAAAATAGTGACTTTTTTCACGTTTTCATGTAGTTTGATATTACGTAAATATATTCATTTTTACCAATATTTCGATACTATTTCATGTAGTATCACGATATGTGATTTGGCCTTCAAATCTCAGAATTTCGCATAATATTGCATTTTAAGCAAGTTTTCTTGCATTTTGTTTCGTACGAAAAATCATCGAATTTAGCAATATTTTTTGCTCGTTCGTCAATGAGAACTGATGCCAACGCACTGGCCAATAAACTGAATAATACTGGCCACTAAACAATAGATTGATTGATTGGTGATTGATGAAGATTAAGCCGCCCAAAAGGTGGCACAGCCGTGAATAGCCCGTAAGTGGATGCCCTCTCTGAGCCATTACCAGTATCAGTAGATGATACTGGAGATCTGTGGAGGTGTGATCGTACCCTGCCTGACGGGAGATGTCTCCCGTGACTAAACAATAAACTGAACCTATCATAAAGAAGAACGACGACCATTGTCCGTCTAGGGCTCCAACAGTGTAACTGTAATTAACAATGCTCAAGTCCTGACCAACAGTCAAATATTAATCCATCAGCCTCGAAGCAGAGCGTCTCCCAACATCAATTCTAGTGCAGGGTCCTGTTGAAAAAATTTTCCGATTTTACATAGGTTTACCGTGACAGACAAAACAACAGTAGCCTTGAAGAGGAAAGGAAATCGGCAGATTGTCGAAGGTTTGCCTGATATTTTCCAGCTATACAGTACTTTAAAAGAAAAGTTAACGGATGTTTGACTTTTATCCTTCTGTTTCCAACCATCCAATATTTACCAACCATCGGGATGAATACTTATATGACACAAACTAGACATATTAGTATGAAAAAGAACTAACAATTCTCCAAATAGTAGGACGTGATTCAGTTTTCATGGAAATATTCATTTTCGGGTGTTCGACTTCAGTTTGGAAATATGAAAAGGCACAGTTTGGTGCATTCAGATGATAAAGCTTTATGACATTAATTACAAATGGCATAAGAAAGAAGCAAATATTAGTTATATTTAGAACCTATAACAGAAAATAATTTAAGTAAAACAGTTGATATAAAAAGCTGTATATAATTAAAACTTGTTAGTTTCATCGCAATGAATGTAAACATGTGATCATTCGTTCAAAAACAATAACACACGCGATCCTAGATTTTGCAGTCATCGGGAGAACAAATCCTTCATGCAAACTGCACCTACTATCAAGAAGAAGAAGATCCTAGATTTGGGCATGATATGTAAAGTTTTCTCGGCATTTATGTAAATAATTCCTTCATATGTAATATTTTACTAATTGAAAAGAATGCAAATGTTTCATTGCTGTTTAGTTAAATAATTTTCAAAAACTTGTTGCAGTATTAAAGTTTTGCTTGTTATGTGTAGGAAGAATATATTTTACTGCATATTGGTATACACATTCTAATGCGTTTTTAGTATGCAGCATGTTGTTTTTATCAATTATGTTTTTTATAATAAGCTTCCTAGAAGGTTGTAACCGATCCCATGAGCACCACACCAGAAACAAATACCTATTTGATATTCCAAGAGTACGACTTAGTTAAACTAGAAATGCTTTACAAATCAAGGGACCTCGAATGTGGCCTTCCCAATTATGTTAAAGACTGTACCTCTCCCAACCAGTTTAAGTTAAAAACTAAGTACTAGCTAATTAACTCAATGTAACCTACCTCACCCCCAAAATGTCAACCCATCTCTTCTATTTAAAACAATGCTGTTTGTTGACCAAATTGTATTTTACTTTTTTTCTGCCATGTTTCACCCCCCCCCCTCCCTTTTTTTCCATTTTTTTCTTATTTTTTCTCAACACAATTTATACTTTAATCTCTTTTAGTATTAAGTTTTAGTCTTAGTGTTTTTCCTGCCCGAAACACTTTGCGTAATAGTGGCTTTAGGCATTGTATGTACTAGCTCTATCTATAAATCCATCTACTTTTGTATCTTACCTTGTATGTATGTACTTTACCTGAATAAATAATTGTAGTTGTATTTGTAATAGGTAGATGATACAGAAAGCAGTACAATGTCTGTCACAAATCCTTTTACTGCAGCAGCATTAAGACCACAAGTCAGTAGAATAAATATGCCTGGAAGATCGACCCCAGCCAGCATACTAGCAGATAAAAAAACATTTAATCAGCTTTTGACAAAATTACAAATAAAGATGTGTTATGTTATGTCATTGTGTTAGGTTAGCCTAGCTATTATTTCCAATTTGTTTTTTAATTTGTATTAGTATGCAGTATTAGGCTATTGTAACAAATTGGAATGTACAACGTCCAATATTTTTTTGGCAGATTCGTTCTTGGCTCCTGAAAACTATCTTTACTTACCAGATGTACCAAGAATAACTCCGGACAATAATGATGGTATTGTTTATAAAATCATTTGATTATGGCCTTTATAATACATTAATATCAAAGTTTACAACCCTGTGTAATACAGTAAGTCTTTGTTTTAACAATAACAACAGATTTTTTTTCTATGCTCAGCATAATTGGCTTGAAATCCATCATCCCATTATAATTTCTATCACTTTGATTATTGGTTTAGACAATTACATCAAAACATTTAATGTAGCTTCTCTTGCTACAGTTATAATGTATCCTATTGAGAATGTATATTTTTTTAACAGAAGGTCTCCAGACACTAGCAATTTTAGCTAAAGAGAACCTTCATCGTGAATATTTTAAAATAAACTCGGCTCTCCAGAAAAAATGTGAATATATGAAGCGAAGTTTAAATATTGAGGACCTAAATTATCTGAAGCCTTCAAACAAGAAAGGAAAAGGAGAAAATTACTGCAGGATTATTGAAATCAATCAAACACAACGTTCAAACTTATCAGAAGGTAATTTTTTATTTAGTTATTTATTCCATGACCCATGTTTGTGTGTTCCTATATCATAGTATAATGATAGGTTTAATTGCTAGTGTAGATTTCATTTTGCCTCAGACTAAAAATTATTTAGGTTTTTGGTGTTTTATTATTCAAAATTTGTTTATATATAATCCAAGGTTATAGTCAACTTCTCCTTTGAAAACAGATATTTACCTGAATGCCACAAACTCTAGTAGCCTAGAAGAGTACAGGAAGCCCGCGGCTTGTCGAAATTCCCCCCATTTGCCTTTATGATCTTTTTTTGGGTATATTTAGAAATTCAGCACAGTTTTGGCAGTTACAGCTCTGATGGGTAGGCAGTTCCATGTGTTAATAACCCTCTGGGTCAAAAATAATTTTGTTGTCAGCCCTACATTTTGGTTTGTTGAACTTGAAACCGTTGCTCTTTGTTTGTATTACATCTGAACCAAACTAGCCAAACTTTTTTGGATAATGTCATTGACTGCTTCATATCTGGCAATCTTTCCCTGTGTCTTATGACAGATTAGGCCATGGCTGCCATATTGGTCTGCCCTTGCATAGCCGCAAATGCACCGGTGTTCGGTGGAGATAGGGGCAGCGATGGTCATAGCAAAAAAATGTAGATAGTTTACAAATTAAAAATAGATAAAGTGTTGTGGAATTACCATACTAAAAGGTTGATTTTCTGCCAAACAGCCCTTCTGCCTGCTTCTCTTTCACCTCCACACATTCAAAGTTTTGACTTCTCAACTAGTGTACCAACATATGCTCAAACATATTTACCAGCTGCAGAACAAACACCAAAATCATTGAATTCTGGTACGTCCCTATTTGAACAATGTAATGTAATATAATCTTAGTACCTAGTATCTACTATATATATATATATATATATATATAACTGAAAACTCACACCCCAGAAGTGACTCGAACCCATACTCCCAGAAGCAACGCAACTGGTATGTACAAGACGCCTTAATCCACTTGACCATCACGACCGGACATAATGAGGTGATAGCCGAGGCTATATGAACCACCCCACCGCCGGCACTCGGATAGTTATCTTGGGCATAGCATTTTACCAAATCACCTCATTCTTTGGGGCAACACGTGAGGAACACAAATGCGAACAAGCCTGAATGGTCCCCAGGACATATGCAACTGAAAACTCACACCCCAGAAGTGACTCGAACCCATACTCCCAGAAGCAACGCAACTGGTATGTACAAGACGCCTTAATCCACTTGACCATCACGACCGGACATAATGAGGTGATAGCCGAGGCTATATGAACCACCCCACCGCCGGCACTCGGATAGTTATCTTGGGCATAGCATTTTACCAAATCACCTCATTCTTTGGGGCAACACGTGAGGAACACAAATGCGAACAAGCCTGAATGGTCCCCAGGACATATGCAACTGAAAACTCACACCCCAGAAGTGACTCGAACCCATACTCCCAGAAGCAACGCAACTGGTATGTACAAGACGCCTTAATCCACTTGACCATCACGACCGGACATAATGAGGTGATAGCCGAGGCTATATGAACCACCCCACCGCCGGCACTCGGATAGTTATCTTGGGCATAGCATTTTACCAAATCACCTCATTCTTTGGGGCAACACGTGAGGAACACAAATGCGAACTTCTATCCTGAACCAAGCAGTGTTTAAAAATTTTATTTAGTTCATGTAATTTTTTTAGTAGTTTTTGTATTGGTAATTTTCCTCATTAATTATTGATTACCTCATTAATTACAGATTTTTAGTTAAATAAATGAATTTTTATTTATTAAATATAAATCTTTCATGTAACTCCAGTTAATGCTAAAAAAATTATTAGTAATTTAAAATGTAATGATTGAAACATGTATTTATTTTTCTGCATAGCTGATCTTGTAAATTTAATTGTTACCAGAGCCTGTTGTACCAGCACATCCATAAAATTCCTGCCCAAACTGCAGTGAGAGCAAGTTCACAACTTTAAGCTCCAATAATTTGTGCATCTTTGTAACTTTAAGTGGTAGGTTACTTTAAGAAACATTTATTTGATACTAGTATTGGTAGCTGGCATTGCTCAGGTGACCCAGGCTACAGTCTTCATCAATATAACCATTTATACTTCACTCTCTTTACCACTGTATCTTCACTTATGAAGACGTATTTATATCACATACGTATTTATAACCATACAGAGACTTGTTTATGGGTTGGTTTACACATATATTGATAGCCACACTTGAATCCCTTGCCAAATAAAATTGTTTTACTTCAATTTTTTTTTATTTTTTGTGGGGGGCAGGAAGGTATGATCTGTATACCCCAATATTTAGGTGCAAGTGCGGATATGCAGATGAAGAACTTGGGAAAGCCATGCACCAGTCTGGTTTTTATTCAACTGGAAGAAATAGTAGCACTTTCTACAGCATAAATCTATTGAATTCCTGGCATTTTCTCAAGAGAAGCAGCCCTGGAACTTCTCTTCAGGCATTAGTTAGTGCACTGGAATTATTTGGTGCTTCTCGAGGGCGTGTAAGTTTTCATACCATTACTGTTTTAATAGTGCAAGTATTAAATTGGTGTATAAACTTAAAAACTAAGTTTGTTACTAAGCAAATGCAGTGTCATTATTTAAGAAATAGGGTTAAATATTATTAAATTAATAAATAGCATGAATATTCTAAATATATATTTTATATATGTCTAATATCATAAGAAATGGAAATGGATTACCAATCTTTAACAATTTCTCTTTTTATGTAATGCTCATGTAAGTATATTTTCATTTCCTGCAGGTATTTATAGTCTGTTGCTCAACTTGCCACTGCTTGGCACTTCTTGATAATTACTAACACACATTTTACATCTTAGCATGGTCCCATCAATTTTGAAACAACAAAAAGAGTCTTCTTTGAATGGCGTTTCCATCAGTATGAACTTTGGAGAATAAAAGGAGAATTTGACAAGGGGTGCCCTGCATGTGATACAACACCTGTGGCTGTACATATTGATGGCAACAAGAAACTGTATCGTTACAACAAAGTTGGGAGGTAAATATTCAAGTTAAAATATTTAATGCTGTTCATTATTGTTAAGGTATAATGAAAGGTGTAGTAATATGTTTGTAGTACTATAAACGCAGCACTGTATAATATTTATATAGTGTCATGCAACTTTTAATCAGATTTTGTTTAATTGTTAACTGATTACACCTTTATTACTTGCCTTTCAACTTCAGTTGAATTTTTTTATTTGGACTAAGGATTTACTAATTAAAAAATATTTATTTCACTATAAACATTCATTTAGGGAGGGATTATGATGTGAATGCCAGCTTGGGTAGTTGAATTAGTTTTAAGTGAAATGATGTTTAACTGTCATCAAAATGTCTCACACTATGAACATTCATTAATTTAATATCATTCCAGAGGGATCAGAAGCTCATATTGTTCTGGTGGTATCTTCGCTTGTGACAAAGAAGTTCAAGATCACGTTTCCACTATTCAGAACCTTAAAACTCAAGTAAGAATATTTTTACATCTGTTCGAAAGCCTAAAAATAGGTTTTCAAATAGAAACCTAAGACCTAATACCAGGTTTTTACCCATACAATATTTGAAGAATACCTTTATATATTAGCTTGAGACATTATCAATAATGTATATTAATTGGACGGTTCCTAACTATATCATGTTCAAAAAAATTTATAAAATATATGGAATGCATATTGAATGATGAAAAATATTACATAAAAAAAATTACATTTATATATGACTAATATATATATATATGTCGTACCTAGTAGCCAGAACGCACTTCTCAGCCTACTATGCAAGGCCCAATTTGCCTAAAAAGCCAAGTTTTCCTCAATTAATATATTTTCTCTAATTTTTTTCTTATGAAATGATAAAGCTACCCATTTCATTATGTATGAGGTTAATTTTTTTTATTGGAGTTAAAATTAACGTAGATATATGACGAAACCTATCCAACCCTACCTAACCTAACCTAACCTATCTTTATAGGTTAGGTTAGGCTAGGTAGCCAAAATAGTTAGGTTAGGTTTGGTTAGGTAGGTTAGGTTGTCGAAAAAACATTAATTCATGAAAACTTGGCTTATTAGGCAAATCGGGCCATGCATAGTAGGCTGAGAAGTGCGTTCTGGCTACTAGGTACGACATATATATATATATATATATATATATATATATATATATATATATATATATATATATATATATATATATATATATATATATATATATATATATATATATATATATATATATATATATATATATATATATATATATATATATATATATATATATATATATATATATATATATATATATATATATATATATATATATATATATATATATATATATATATATATATATATTAGTTGATTTTATACCCGCATTAGGTCAGGTGATAATACAATGAAGGTGAAAACATGGGGGGATACATAAGGGATAAACATAGGGGCTGCAGAAGGCTTATTGGCCCATTCGAGGCATCTCCTATCTAAACACAAAGATTAATCCAGTGTAATTGGCCTGTTATGTTGGACATTGTCTTCTGTGTTGGCATCGATATGTTCTTGTCTGGTCCTTACTCTCATGGTGGGTAGAGTAAATATTTACTCTACCCACCATGAGAGTAAGGACCAGACAAGAACATATCGATGCCAACACAGAAGACAATGTCCAACATAACAGGCCAATTACACTGGATTAATCTTTGTGTTTAGATAGGAGATGCCTCGTATGGGCCAATAAGCCTTCTGCAGCCCCTATGTTTATCCCTTATATATCCCCCCATGTTTTCACCTTCATTGTATATATATATATATATATATATATATATATATATATATATATATATATATATATATATATATATATATATATATATATATATATATATATATATATATATATATATATATATATATATATATATATATATATATATATATATATATATATATATATATATATAATTTTACTTTTGTCCAACAGAGTAGCCATATGTGTGGAGTGTCGACATTGAAAGCTCCCAAAAATAAACCTGTTTCATTTAGAAGTTTGGATGAAACTGGCATAAGCATGGCTTCCTGTCGACATGGAATTATTCTTGCTGCATTAAATATGTATCAGGGAGAGCTCTACAGTTATGCCCACTATTTGCAAATGAACCGTTTACAAAATGTGTCCTTCATATGCCAGGATATCATCTGTAAATACTGGCCATGGGCCTTAAAGATTTCATCAAGAGAACAGAAGTTCTCACTTAGGCAAGGAAAGCCTTTTTTAGGAGTCCTACATGCCAAAGGACATTCTTGGTATTGTCAGGTAAATAATCTAATACTGTAATAATATTTTGACTTCGTTTTACTGTAAGTTGGAAAATATAATTTCTTTTAAACTCTTATATGTAAGGATTTATCTATGTTAAATGCAAATTGTTAATACAGTAGGTAGTTTTTAACAAACGTTATACTATTATATCAAAGGTTTTGTATGGAGGGCGGTGGCAAGAAGGAAGTGGCCTGACATCTGGGTAGGAGGCAGAGCAAGTATTTTCCTACCTTTCAAGATATAACAACAACACTAAGAACATGCTTAAGTTCTAAATTTTGTACCTTTCAATCAAATCAGTACAATGGTAATATTTGATGGTTATATATATCCAGATAATGTTATAAAATAATATAAGAATATAGGAAATTGCAGAAAGGCATTTTGGCTCATATAAAGTAGCATTATACTCATATGCAACCAACATATACATGTATAATCCTTGTTTGAAAAATCAAGTTGTCCCTGTTTTTATGCTTTGTTTCACATCCTGATATTTTTAATCTTATTACTCTACCACTATTTTTGAGTTCTTTGTTTCCTTTGAAATAACAATTAATTCATTCCACTTAAGACAGCATCAATATCATCATCCTTTTACTTTCCAATCAGTATTTTGAGACACACAGTATTAAGATGTCAATGAATAACTAAATTTATTTCCACAGAGCGTACAGAAGAACTGACAGAGGGGGCACTCTTTTGGAATCACAGAAAAATTAATGGAATGCCTCGGGCATTAGTTGCCAGATTCAGAAAGGTATTAACATATGAATTGTTCAATACAATGAAAATATAGAATTATATATAAATATACAATTGTTCTATACAATGAATCAAGTGTATATACATGTTTTTATTTATCTTTAATCTTATTATAAGACACTAATGGTATTTTCTTCTCATAGACAAAGTAAAATTGGATAAAAACCCACTTGTGTATTTGGGAAATTTATGTAAGGAATTACACCAAGTCTTTCACACACTCCTTGGTGCTTTGTCATGGTCTGAATCTGAAAAACACCTACTCAGGCCTTGACAAAGCACTAAGGATATTTCAAAAGACTTCGTTTAACTCTGAACATAAATTTTACAATAAATATGATGGCATTTATTTTTAAATAGGCCACAGAGACAGCTGCAGCAGTTTCAAATGAGATTCACAGGCTTAATGTCCCAGAATCTGTTATTGAGAAATGAAGATCAGAATTACTGATCATTGCAAGATCCTTAAATAACAGATCCTCTGCCAATAACATTGAGCATACTATCGAGGCATATGTAGAGAATATAAGGCATCGCAAAAATCAGATTACCACTTATGCAGGTAGACATTAATTGCTTTTTTGTTTGTTCACTGAAACCTAAACATTAATACAGTACACAGTTGTTAAATTAGTTTTT